GTACCCACTGTGTGTGTGTGTATATATATATATATATATATATATTTAATAAAGGCCTTTTTAGTTTTAGAAATAGTGCACAGGACAAAAAAAGCTGAAGAAATCTGATGGTTGTTTAACTCTTGATAATTTTGCTAAAGGCTCTGGTCAGTTAACAGGAAGCAGTTGTTTTTGCAATCAACTCTGTGCGGTATGTCTTTTGTAGATGTTGCCAACCCAACCAAAGACACATTGCAGATTTTCATCAGTCTGCTATCAATCCACAATCAGTTTTGCTCACAAGGCCTTTTTTCCAACATTTTCCTCATGACAAGTTTTTAAGATAAAAGCCCAACTCAAATTTCCCTCTTTTTCCCTTAGGAAGGACTCAAAGAATGACACCCAACAGGAATCATTTAAACTACGGGACAGTTTATCTGGTGAGATCTTCTTAGGAGTATGCCAGAATGCTCAAAAGCTCAATGTTTTTCATATTTTCTTTGTTGTCAATGTTGTAGTTTTGTATATAATCACCTCTTGTATCCTTTAGCAAGAAGATCTGCTCTATTAAATATGACTTCAGGTAGTCTTGAAGCATTCGGAGGGGAAGCCTCTAGAGCTGACCTGTAAGTTTAGGAGTGCGAGTTGTTTGTTTGTGATAGATAAACAGTTAACAGTAGTGGGAGTGTGGTTTGTGAGACTGTATCAACTATTTCTATCAATCAAAGCTTTGGAAATGGTTGACTCAATTTGTTTCTTATGATCTTAAAAACATTTTTATCTAAAGGTTTATTCTTGGATGCTTTTGAAAAATAATTTCTGCCATTTTTACACAACTAAAAATATTTAAACAAAAAAAAGATGCAATCAATATGTTACTGCAAAATTATATACTGTGTGTGTATATCTGTACAGGGAGACATCAGATCTAGTCTTCTGTGTGGCAGATCTACAACTAAATAACCAAAAGCTGCAGGAGGAGGTTCGTAAACTGAAGCAGGCAGTGGAAAGCATGGAAGACACCAACCAGAAACTCATTGAGGAAAATGAAGAGCTCAAAGCACAAGCTAAAATGTACAGACTTATATTACATTCTGTCTCACCTGTCTTCTTCCTTAACCTCTAAACCCTCAAATAATCATCATGTACAAAACATCCCTTAACACTCTCCTCTCGTCACTCCCTAATCTCATCCTGCAGAGGGCAGCAGTTATTACAGAAGGAGAAGCTGCTTAAAGAGGAAGTTGAGGAGATGAAGCTGAGCCTGACCTCTTCAGAAGAGAGTCGAGCTCAGGCCTCAGCTCAAAGAAAGCAGATGGTGAGGCACAAACCACACTGATGGCTGTTCTGATGTTAATAAGCCATATTATGAGACTCCGGTCTCATAAACTAATGCAAACAGATAGCATGCGGTATGTTGATAATGAGATGGATAGTAATATTACATAAACCAAGGATAGGCAAACATCCAGAGTAAAC